ACACACACACACACACACACACACTCTCTCACAGCCTGACGACACTCACACACACACACTCTCTCACAGCCTGACGCCGTGTTGCTTCAAGCGCATCATTGTACGTGCTTCGTGTTAAAAACTGCAAAGCACAAAGGGAAGGGAAATTGATGCATAGTGTATTATATCTGTGCAAAAGTTATTGAGCCTTTCTTTTAACAGTTTTAAATTTCAGTTACTGTGCACGTAAAAAACTATTAAAATCCATTCATTAAAAACATTCATATATATGTTTAAGTATATACTATAAAATTAAAATACATTTCTTTTGAATGTATTGCATATTTTTTAATAAGGCAACAACTTATGATAGATACGATAGGACAAAACAAATACAGTGCAGCACAAACTGTTTTTATACAGTCTATGAGCACGAAGCGCTTGCAATGTGCGCGTCCGGTGTGCAGAATGATGACGTCACAGCCTGACGACACACACACACACACACACACACACTCTCTCACAGCCTGACGACACTCACACACACACACTCTCTCACAGCCTGACGCCGTGTTGCTTCAAGCGCATCATTGTACGTGCTTCGTGTTAAAAACTGCAAAGCACAAAGGGAAGGGAAATTGATGCATAGTGTATTATATCTGTGCAAAAGTTATTGAGCCTTTCTTTTAACAGTTTTAAATTTCAGTTACTGTGCACGTAAAAAACTATTTATAGTCTTTTCTACGCCAGTGTTTTGTTCACACAGACACCCGGTAGCGAGTAACAAAACATTAAACTCCGGCAAGAAGATAAAGTCCTTTTTGCAAAAGCATAGACATGTATTTACAAATCAAGTATAATGGGAACACAGAATGATGTTGGAGAGAGCTGTACCGAGCTGACTGCTGTAACCGAGCGCCACCAGGGTTTAAAGGCTGAACGAATGACTGACAGCCACAGCGGAGAAAAAATTTTGTGTGAACTTTAATGTAAGGACTTAAATATTCATATGTAGCTCACATTAAGCTATCGTATGGCTTCAGAAGTAACACAGAATAATTTGCACAATCTTAAAAAATAAAAATAAAATCTCGGATTTGGATCGGCTCTCTCTGACCGATACTCGATCCGAGAAAAATTGCACTATCGGAGCCAATACCCGATATGAATATCGGATCGGCACATCCCTACTAATTTCTAGTCGTGTCCATTTTTGGAAGGCCAAACAAAGTAGTTTCGCTTTCACAACGTAACACAGCATCACACACGGCGGGCTAGAGTGAGCAGAGGCCGGGGGATAAAGTGAGGAACGGCCGGAGGGTTAGAGTGAGCAGAGGCGGCGGATTTGACGAAGGAGCGTCCGGAGAGCTTGCTGCAACCATATGTGACGACCCCGGGCTGAACTCCGCTTCGTCCACGGTGAAAGCCGATCCAGCGATCCACAGCGCGAAATTGTAGTATTTCCTCAGCGACCAGCACGGATCAGCTCCAGGCATGACGAAGCGATATTGTCCTATTTTGGAAGACCAAACAAAGTAGTTTTGCTTTCACAACGAAACACAGCGTCTTCACGACATGGCGGCGGCAACAATACTATTAGAATAAACGTTACACCTTCTTTCTTTGCGTGAACATTTGGGCAGCGTTATGCAAATCTTCCCACATAGTGACGTAGGTATGTGGGGGCGTGTTAGAACGAGCCGTTTTAGGTAGGCGTGGTTAACTCTTAACTTTTATAAAGAATATCTCTTTGGATTTGAGACTTTAGTCTTTGCAACTTTACAGATCTTCTTTATGCACCAAGAGCTTGTAACACTCCAAAGAGAAAGGAACAATTTAAATCGCATCATATGACCCCTTTAATGTAAATTACACACCTGCTCACACAGAGAAGTATGAAAGATACACCAGAGTTGCACTTGCATTAGTTTTACTAGTATAAAACTGTGGTTAATTTTCATAAGGGGTCGTCAACAAAACCTTTTTGCCAAATACATACATGTTCTTTAATATACTTTTATTCATGGTAATATGTGGGATAATTGTAATAACATTTCTAATAACTATTTTATGAATAAGCCCTTTTTTAACTGTTCTCTGAGGTTGTGTTGAGAATGGTCTGTTGGCTAGTAATCTAAAATATGACCTATGTACATTTGTTTGGTATAAATTTAAATAATAAATACCTAATAATAAAACCTTTAAAAACTCATTACATTCCCTTACGGAAGAGGAGCTTGAGGGGATCATCCAACCACCCTGTCTGAGCAGCGAGCGTGCGGAAAGATAGTGCGTAGTCAGCTGCTGAACTTTTCCCTTGACGAAGGGCTAATAACTGCTCGCCTACCTCTTTGCCACCCTCAGGGTGTTCAAACACCTCCTTGAAGCTTTGAATGAAACTGGTGAACGAGGGGAAAACGATGCGGTCCTCACTCCACACCGCCGTGGCCCAATCCAACGCTCTACCAGTTAGAAGCGAACAAACGAAGGCAATGCGGTTATTGTCCGTGGGGTATAACATGGGCTGTTGATTCACGAACATCGAACATTGGAGCAGGAACCCCTTACACTTCGTGGGTGATCCATCGAACTTTTCGGGAAATGCCAAGCGAGGGCTGGTGGTGACGGCAGCCGTCACCGGAGCGTGTAGAGGCGGGTTAAGCGGTGGAGATCTCTCCTCGGGTGGTGGTAACCGCAGTGCTCGCAGAGTTGTCACCAGCTCCTCCGTGAGTGAGGTAAGTCGGTTAAGCTGTTGTTGCTGGGAAGCCAGTACTGACGCTTGAGCGGTTACCTCCGTGGTGAAATGATAGAAAGCCGCTGGATCGATCTGCGGCGAAGTCTTCTGTAATGAGGATTCAGTGACGTTGGGATCCATGTGCAGCTTTATTAACAATAGACAGGCAGAGTTCAGTC